TTTACCTTATTCTACCTAAGCATGGGCCTAAATTAGGTATATGAGTAGTTCCATTGACTTCAAACCCATTGACTTCAATGGGATTACTCACATGCTTCATGTTAGATACATGGTTAAGTGACTTCGCGACTTGATCAGTCAATAAGTACCTACATGGGGAATGAATATTTAATAATGGGCTCTTCGGTCTTGCAGAGAAAGATCTAACACAGTCCAATGGCTGGAGGTTGAAACTAGATAAATTCAGAAGGGAAATAAAAGCAAATTTTTAACAGTGAGGGTAATTAACCATTAGAATAGCTGTCCAAGGGTTGTGGTGGATTCTCCATCACTAGCAATTTTAAAATCAAGATTGGATGTTTTTCTAAAAGATATGTGCGAGTGCAAACAGAAATAAAGGGAAATCCTATGGCCTGTGTTATTACAGGAGCTCAGATGAGACCACAGTGGCCCCTTCTGGGTTTATAATCTATTAATCAGGACCTAATTCCTTATTTAGTCTTAGAATAAAGTTACTCTTTCTGTGATTCTTTGTCAAGTGACAGGCACACACGTGTTTCATGGAGACCAGCATTATGGACACTTCCTTGATGCTGCATGGGCCTGTGTTAGAGGGGTATAGTAGGAATAATTTCAAATGTTGATGGGGGAGAGGATGAAATTTACCCAAATCCCCCCTCGTTTTGTTGTTGTTTGTTTTTCTTGACCAGCTCTAAAATGTAATCCCTAATCCTGCAGTTGGATCCTGTGTGATTTAGATTGCAGGATTGGGCAAAGACATATATGGTTAGCCCTATTGACTTCAAAAGGTAAGCATATCAATCCAAATGGAGAAAAGGTAAGCATTTGTAAGTCTTCATGTGTGAGTCTTTGCAGGGTGGGGATCTCAGCCTGTAAACTCTTTGGAGTAACGACTGTGCCATCTGCAAAGTGTAACAAACTTTTACTATAAGATATTAATTCCTAATAATATTTTGTGTGTATCATTTTAAAATCCTAAAATCACTTAAGGATTTTAGGATTGGAGATTGGAACCAAACTGCAAAGATCAAATCAAAATCTGGAACTGATGTTTATCCCAGGTTTGGGTTAAGATTAGGTCCATTATAGAGAAAGACCAATGCTGCAGTTTGTGTCCAGCTCTAAAGTCTCTCAGCTTTCGCAGGAACAGGTCTCCTGGCCCATCCTTATCTGTACGAAGACAGATTAAGGCAACCTGTGGCTCTAGGCTCACCTTGACATAGGGGCCCGTTTGTGGCTTCACCCTCACAGCACTGATCCTACATCGTGATCCCTCCCCAGTTGGAGTGGCAGTAGCTGATGGGCCCCTTCCTTCCCATAGATACAGGGGCAGCAACTTGAGCCTTTCCCTCCTTCTGCAGCTGCAGTAGAAGCAACGCTTCTTTTGAGAGCAGCAGGGGCAACACAGACTTCGTAAGAGGCAGGGGAACTCACACCAAGGTTACTGGGGTAAATACTGTGAATCATTGTGGATAAGCTAGCCCATTGCACTTTTCTCACATAATTCCCTCTTTGAGAGGTGGTAGTGGAGGAGTTCCCCAGAATAGAAGGTCTAGAAGTTAACATCCCATTGTACAGGGTAATTCACACCTCTCAGAGCTATTGTTTCAGCCTCTCTGCAGACTCAGGCCCTGCAGCTGTACTCAGGATCTGAAACCCAGTTTGTCATTTTGTAGGATATCCACTTTCTATAGTACTTAATGTCGATGGTTTCAACCTCAGTTCTCTACTATACACAGTATTGCCAACTCTTGCGAATTTATCACTAGTTTTCAGATATTTGGTATTTTTCTTCAGACCCCAGCTCCTGGAGCAATTTCCTTTTGCAATAACCTCAGCTTTAATTTTTAGAAAAATAAAAGTTTCTAGCCCTCATGATTGTGGAGAAAAGCTTGAAAATATGACCCAAAACCCAGAAGGCAAATAAATAATAATAATAATTAATAATAAAAATATTTATTATTTTTGAAAACCTCATGATTCTTAAGCCAATCTTATGATTTTGGGGGCCTGACTCTCCTGAGTTTTGAATGTGTGGGGTTGGCAATACTGCATCTGTAAAAGGGGTGGAGTGGAAGGCAGGAGGAAGGAAAAAGAAAAGAAACCACTGCTGTAAAGATTAATCTTTTCTTCTAATTAATTACAGCAGTTATGTTTTGGAATTCCTGTAGAGAACAAGTGCTTCTTGCTGACAGCTGGCTTGCAATTAATAAAAGGAAAAGGCTTTTCAGCTGGCAGTAACTTTACATGCTCATGATATATGAAAACAAGGTTAAATCACTCAATTTTTTCTTAACCACATATGAAAGAAACATTTAAAATGAAATGGCTTAACTTAAGAAATGAAAAAGTAGTGACTGGCAAAAGTTCCTATTCCCACTATTTCATCAGTGTCCCAAACAACCAGTGGGGCCCCTGAACAATCGAGATACAAAAGGAGCACTTATAGATGATAAAGTCATTGCAGAGAAACTAAATGAATTCTATGCTTCAGTCTTCACAGCTGAGGATGTTAGGGAGATTCCCAAACCTGAGTCATCTTTTGTAGGTGACAAATCTGAGGAATTGTCACAGATTGAAGTGTCACTAGAGGTTTTGGAATTAATTGAGAAACTTAACAGTAACGAGTCACCGGGACCAGGTGGCATTCACCCAAGAGTTCTGAAAGAACTCAAATGTGAAATTGCGAACTATTAACTATGGTTTGTAACCTGTCCTTTAAATCAGCTTCTGTACTCAATGACTGGAAGATAGGTAATGTAACGCCAATATTTGAAAAGGGCTCTAGACGTGATCCTGGCAATTACAGACCAGTAAGTCTGTCAGTACTGGGCAAATTAGTTAAAACAATAGTAAAGAATAAAATTGTCAGACACATAGAAGAGCATAAATTGTTGCGCAAAAGTCAACATGGTTTCTGTAAAGGGAGATTGTATCTTAGTAATCTATTAGAGTTCTTTGAAGGGTTCAACAAAGATGTGGACAAGGGGGATCCAGTGGACATAGTGTACTTAGATTTCCAGAAAGCCTTTGACAAGGTCCCTCACCACAGGCTCTTATGTAAATTAAGTTGTCATGGGATAAGAGGGAGGATCCTTTCATGCACTGAGAACTGGTTAAAAGAAAGGGAACAAAAGGTAGGAATAAATGGTAAATTATCAGAATGGAGAGGGGTAACTGGTGGTGTTCCCCAAGGGTCAGTCCTAGGACCAATCCTATTCAGCTTATTCATAAATGATCTGGAGAAAGGGGTAAACAGTGAGGTGGCAAAATTTACAGACGATACTAAACTGCTCAAGATAGTTATGACCAAAGCAGACTGTGAAGAACTTCAAAGAGATCTCACAAAACTAAGTGATTGGGCAACAAAATGGCAAATGAAATTTAATGTGGACAAATGTAAAGTAATGCACATTGGAAAAAATAACCCCAACTATACATACAATATGATGGGGACTAATTTAGCTACAACTAATCAGGAGAAAGATCTTGGAGTCATCGTGGATAGTTCTCTGAAGATGTCCATGCAGTGTGCAGCAGCAGTCAAAAAAGCAAACGGGATGTTAGGAATCATTAAAAAAGGGATAGCGAATAAGACGGAGAATATTTTATTGCCCTTATATAAATCCATGGTACACCCACATCTTGAATACTGCGTACAGATGTGGTCCCCTCATCTCAAAAAAGATATACTGACATTATAAAAGGTTCAGAAAAGGGGAACTAAAAGGATAAGGGGTTTGGAACGGGTCCCATCTGAGGAGAGATTAAAGAGGCTAGGACTTTTCAACTTGGAAAGAGGAGAATAAGGGGGGACATGATAGAGGTATATAAAATCACAAGTGGTGTAGAGAAAGTTAATAAGGCAAAGTTATTTACTTGTTCCCATATAAGAACTAGGGACCACCAAATGAAGTTAATGGGCAGCAGGTTTAAAAGAAATGAAAGTTCTTCACACAGCTCACAGTCAACCTGTGGAACTCCTTGCCTGAGGAGGTTGTGAAGGCTAGGACTACAACAGGGTTTAAAAGAGAACTGGATAAATTCATGGAGGTTAAGTCCATTAATGGCTATTAGCCAGGAGGGCAAGGAATGGTGTCCCTAGCCTCTGTTGTCAGAGGGTGGAGATGGATGGCAGGAGAGAGTTTACTTCCTCTGGGGTACCTGGCACTGGCCACTGTCGGTAGACAGGATATTGGGCTGGATGGACCTTTGGTCTGACCCAATGTGGCCATTCCTATGTTCTAACACTAATGAAAGCTTTGGAGATGCAAAGATAAGGCCTGATCCTGAGAGGTACTAAGCACCCAGTGAATGCTTAGACAGGACTTTATGAGTGTGCTTGGTCAGTTCTGTATATCACAGAAATCGGCCCTCCGCTGCAGATTCTTCTCATTTCCCAGGATCAGGCCTGTAGTGCCCTGCTTCTGCATAATAAAGACATTTCCATTAACTCTACTGTCCTTTTTTTTTTAATGCCTCCGTGGTATTCTTTGCAGCTTTTTCTAAAATCCTTCTTCACCTGGTATCTGCCTTTCATCCCTGCCCCTACTCAAAAAACAAATGAAACAAACAAACAAAAAAATCCTCCAACAACCAGCAACCTGTGTGGTGAAAAGGACAATTCAGAAATAGTTTCCCAGGGAAACAGCAGAGTTTCAGGTTTTGGGGACTTGAAAGCTGGACTAGTCATAGCATTGGAAAATATAATGTAGGGAACAATCTTGCATTAGCAGATGGATTTGCCTAATAATCATGCAGCATTAACTTCGGGCTTTGGATCAGGTCCTAAAAAGATTGCAAGAATTTTGCAAACTAACCCTCTTGTGGAAGGAAATTTTTATTTTTCATCCCACTGGAAGCAGGCACAGAAATGCCACAGGAATGAGTGGGGTATAAATACCTAAACAGATAGAGGAAAGTGAAATTACTGATACCCTGGATTTTCCTTTAGCATCTCTTCTTTTATTGTCTTGTAGAATGCAGCACCTTTCCAAGTTACTGTCCGAGATGACAACTGCATTGTAGTGTCGTTGGAGGAGTCTGATGTAGTGAGCTCGTCCTCTGTGTACGTTGTGAAGATAACTGGTGAATCCAAGAACTACTTTTTCCAGTTTGAAGAATTCAACAGCACTTTACCTTCCCCTGTGGTTTTTAATGCCAGTTACCATGGCCTTTATTACATAGTGACTCTGATGGTGGTGAATTCCAATATGGTTTCCAAACCAGTGAGATCGATCACTGTGTTAACCAGTAAGTAGCAACTTACTCAGTTTTTCTCTCTTTCTTCTTTGTGTGTGTGTCACTCCAAACATAATTCTGTGCAGAGGTTGAACTACATTTAAAAGGTCCTGACTGGGTTGTAGGGAGGACTAGGAGCAAAGGCTCTGAAGTTTTGGGTGGAAGGAAGAGCAGCTGTAGAGCCTCCCTGGGTAGCCCAGCCCATAAAAAGGCTGGAAAGGGGCACCCCAGGCTCATCTGTGGTACTCATTCCCTGAGCAGGTGGGCCAGGGAAGCTCCTTTCTAGGATGGGCAGAAGAGATGAGCCATTTCCAGGACCTGAGCTGTGTATAAGCCAACCCTGAAAACCTGCCTAAATATATTGATGGAAATTTCTCATCTTTTACATGCATATATCCATACTATGATCCAAACCGTGGTCTGAGACCTAAAAAGCACTCGCTGGCAGTCCAGTGAGAGCTGCCTGGCCATGTGGTGCTGGGGGCTCTTCTGCTGTAGCTGTCACATGGATGTTGTTTGATCATGAATAGGAGGTGAGGTGCTCTGTGCAGTTGTCACTGGGAAGCCAGGTGGTCACTGTGACAATCTCCCACCCAATTGGGGCATCTCAAAGATTTTGTAGCATGGACCACCTTTTAGTAACCCCTCTTTTAACAGGTTTGTGTGTGTTGATGATGATATGATTCATCCACCAGAAACAGGGCGGGGAGGTCTGATTACATTTAGTCCATCCTCACATCATGAGAGGTACCAAGGCTTCTGATTCAATGTCGGATGCTGAGCCCTGCCATAATTCTAACATGGTGTGACGGGGCATGCATGTCTCACACTGGGACTGTGGGGGTTAATGCCTCACTGTGGGGTGAGGGCGCCATTCCCCCATGGCCCTACTGGGCATGCTGAAAGTGCAACGCCAGTATAAGAGGGAGCAGCCTGGCTCAGTCGGGGCAGACTGCTGTAGGGGAAGGAGGTGTGCTGCTGACCCCTGCTGGAGGGCTGTGGGCACTTCAAGATGCAGAGGCCAGCCAGCTGACAGCAACCCTCAACCCCCAGGCATGGGACACGGCTGAGGGAGAAGGAACCGAGGGAACTGGGAAGCCAACAGATGTGGAGAAACTGGTAGGAAGTAACCCAGGGAGTCTTTGCGAGGAGTTGGTTGGACAACCGGAGACTAGCTCGGCATATTTCGGCCGGATCCCCGCCGAGCTGGTGGCAGGCAATTCTGCCACCAACAGGGCCCTGGGTTGGGACCTGGTGGAGAGGGAGGGCCTGTGTCCTCCTAACCCCCAACCAGAAGCAAATACTCACCAGCAACTACACACCACACCACAGAAACACTAACTGAGGAACCAATCCCCGTAGCAAACCTCGTTCCCTACTCTGTCCCCATATCTACTCTAGCGGCACCATCAGAGGACCCAACCACATCAGCCACACCATCAGGGGCTCATTCACCTGCATGTCTACTAATGTTATATATGCCATCATGTGCCAGCAATACCCCTCTGCCATGTACATTGGCCAAACCGGACAGTCCCTACGTAAAAGAATAAATGGACACAAATTGAACATCAGGAATGGTAACATACAAAAGCCAATAGGAGAACACTTCAATCTTCTTGGACATTCTATAACAGATTTAAAAGTGGCTATACTTGAACAAAAAAAACCTTCAGAAACAGACTTCAAAGAGAAACTGCAGAACTAAAATTCATTTGCAAATTTAACACCATTAATTTGGGCTTGAATAGGGACTGGGAGTGGCTGGCTCATTACAAATGCAGCTTTGCCTCTCCTGGAATTGACACCGCCTCATCTATTGTTGGGAGTGGACTACATCCACCCTGATCGAATTGGCCCTGTCAGCATTGGTTCCCCACTTGTGAGGTAACTCCTTTCTCTTCATGTGTCATTATATAATGCCTGCATCTGTAATTTTCAGTCCATGCATCTGAAGAAGTGGTTTTTTACCCATGAAAGCTTATGCCCAAATAAAACGGTTAGTCTTTAAGGTGCCACCAGACTCCTTGTTGTTTATGTGAATACAGACTAACATGGCTACCCCCTGATACCTATACAGGCTGCCACCCCCCTGAGGTGGCTGCCCATTCTAACAGCTATTGACTCCGGCAGCTAGGCTGTTCAGCCTCGAGCCGGGGGCAGCTATTGACTCCGGCCGCTAGATCATACAGCCTCAAGCTGGGGGGCAGCTATTGACTCCGGCCGCTAGGCCGTACAGCCCCGCCTGGGGGTGCGCAGGTGCAGCTGTGGGCCCGAACTGTGGCACATGGCTTACAAACATTGAAACTAATTTGTATCTCTTTAAATGGTTTCTTAATCTGAAAGTCCTGTTCTTTTTAAAAACTCCAATGGGGGAAAAATAGTTAGCCATTTGTGATTAATCAGGTCTTTGATTGTACATCTGGGCAGAAGTCTCATTCACAGCCAGGTTTCTGTGACAAGTTGTTGCCATATAACGTCAGAGAGCCCTTTTCACTGTTTAAACTGGGCTGATTAAGACCTGGCTGAAGCAAATCAGGAGAAACTCTGAGACTGGAGGGAGTTTTTTGATAGAGTACCTTTTGGGGTCAAATGACAAATTGAAATCAATGTATAATTTTGTTTGGTTTCTGGCTCTGGAATAGGGTTGCCAACCCTCCAGGATTGGCCTGGAGTCTCCTGGAATCGGTCTCCCGGTGACTGTTGAAAGCAATCAAGGAGATTTTAAGAAAATGACATTACATCGTGTTGGGGGGGCGGGGGGGGGAGAGGGGAAATCTCCCGGAATAGCTTCCCTCTGAGTTGGCAGCCCTACTCTGGAACTTTATAAAACTGTGTAAGTACGGCACTGCCACTGTCAACAAACAGCATATACAATAATCACAATCTTCCAAAAGTCCTTTCGATGAACATCATTTGAATTGCAAGGTCAAGCATTTGAAAGTTAGGAAATGCTACGTAATGAGACAGGGACCTGTCGAAAAAATAGGTTATGCTCATGTAATTAAAGATGCACAAGGCGGCTGAGTTAAGGTTCCAGAAGTATTGTGGCATTTCCTAACTTTTGAGTGCTTCCTTGCAACCTTAATAGTGTCCTTTGAATGTAATTTTTAAAATGCCATTTCCTAGATTTTGCTTTTAAAGGAAAATGGTAAAAACAAATTTGGTTATGAACATCTGTAACACCACCTCAGCGAGCATCTTCTTCAGGGTTTGAAACCTAAGCCTTCAGCACCACAGTATAGACTGCTACCACCTGAGAGACAGGACTGGCTACATTAGCTGCCTGCCAGCAGGAGAAGGCTGTTATTTCCTAATGGAGGATGAATCACTGGGTCCAAATGCATGGGGCAGTTGAAGGTGGTAGGAGCCCAGCCCAGCTCTTACTCCCCACTTATTCCCAAAAGTTGGGAGTTGGGAGAGCTCCTGATCCATATAGTGCCCCCAGAGGGAGTGATGGGCTGCTGGGGCCACACCCTGGGTATAGGCTCTGGTTGTATAGAGCTTGGGCTAGCTTTCTTTCTCTCCCCCTACTTGGGAGTGCTCCAATCCCAAGTGATATCCCCAGATGGAGTTGGAGCATTGATCAATAAGGGATACCAGCTCAGCACCCTGCAGCTGGTCTGGCAGTTCCATGGAGGTCCCCAGGTACTGCTGTGCAAATAACAGATGTTTCAGTTCACTGGCAACTGAAAAATTGAGGCCGGGGGGGATGGTTTGGGGTTGATCCCAAAATAAAGTTTTAAAACATGTTCAGTGAGCAGTGGGGGAAAATGATTTCATGTTGGGGAAAAAAACATTTCATTTCCATTTCAAGTGTTTTATTAACATTAAAAAATAAATTAAATGATGAGAAATTCAAAACAAAAAGTTGTTTTCATTCAAAGTATCCAAAGGATTTGACTTTTTTGGATTATTTTGTGGGGGAAGGGGAAGCAGATGGACTGAAACAATTAAGCAAAAATGACATGAATTTGCAAACTGTTTCAGTATTGCCAAATCTGCCTTTTTTTTTTTTTTTTTTTTTGCTTGGGAAACAAATTCAGAAGAATCCCCCCCCCCCCAGTACTATTCCCAGTACAGTCTCTGCTGCTGCTTTGCCAGAGACATAAGTCTGAACTTACAATATTTAGTAAAAGCTAAACAGAGTTTCCTGGGATGAAGTAAATACATATCTGTAGCCTAAGGACATTCCCCTGCTGAAAGTCAAAGGTTTGCTCTAAACAATGCAGGTATAAGAACTTATCAAAGAAAAGGTTGCAAGAATCCTTCCTAATGGAAAGCATGGGCAACCTAAGTATATGGGTTGCTACTAGTCCCCCCTATAATATCATAGCCTTCTCAAGAAGCTCACTAATTGAGGAGAGGGATGTTTCAATGAAAGGGTATTTGATCAGGAAAAGTCTGACATTGTGGTAACCAGTTAGGTAATTAGGATAGATTCATATATTTCCCTGTGCCATAGGTTCTCTGTCTGTTAAATATCATTGACTTAGTGTGACCATGTGAAAAATAGACTTATGTAATCTGTGACATGCTACGGCATGGATCCTGGAGCAAATTCATCCTGATACAACGCCATTGACTTCTGTCAGGTTACACCAGCTACAAACTGGCCACATGTGTTGGGCTGCCATGGGATAAATCAAGCTATGTAGCCAATGATGCCTGACTCTTTGAGATAAATGATGTTGACTGCAATTGGTCCCCAGGCTGTCCTTAAACATTTCACAACAGTTCTTCTGGGCTTACTGATATTTGCAGAAGTGTCTGTGAAGTGGCACCACATACCACTATCGTCTTTCATCTCGATCCTGTGCTAGGGCAACTGAGACCAGAGCAGTGTATGGGGAAAGAGGCTTTTCCCCTCAGGGACCCACAGAAAAGCTCTCTCTATTGAGAACTCTCTGCTTTCCAATACAATATTCCTACAAGCTGATTTCCTTTCCCTATTCTAGTTCCTTGTATGATGTTCTTCTCTCAGCAGGTGGACAAAAAAGAAAATCTCTCTT